GGCGGCGGCGGCGGCGGCCGGGGCGGGCGAGGCCGACACCCCGGGCACCTGAAGGGCCGCGAGATCGGGTTGTGGTACGCGCGGAAGCAGGGCCAGAAGAACCGGGACGCCGAGAGGCAGGAGGTGACGGCGGTTGGCCGGGCGGGCGGCCCCCTCCCCGCGGCCGCGGGGCGGAGGTCTGTGCGGGACGGCGGCCGTCGGGGCTCGCCCGCGGTGCGCCGAGCGGGGCCGCCGCCTCGTGCGCAAGGGCAGTCCTGCTCTCGCCCTCACTGTTGAAACAGCCAGACCGGGGCTTCTGCTTGACGTCGGGCTGGGGTTTTTGCTGTTGGCAGCCGCTCCCTGAGAAGGCAGCGGGGCCCCGGGGGTGGGAGGAGTGTGGAGAGGGTGCGTCTTAGGCTCTTCTCCCGGGGCTGGACGCTGTCCGTCTGGCTGGCGTCTCGGGGATGTGCAGTAAAGGGAACGTGCAGGCTCCGGAGTGGCCTGTCCTAGTGAGAAGTCGTGGTTAACAGAAGCCCTCCTCATGCAGGCCTTGGGCCATGTTCGTGGAGACTGCTGCCCAAGCGCCCTTCGTGCCGCATGGAGTGTAACCGCCGCTCGGGCTTCTGTGTTGAAGTCGTTCTTTGTTTTAGTCCTGTCATTTTCATTGAAGTGTTTTTGGGCATTATCTGTCTATCTTAGCAACTTTTTAAAAAGAAAGCATATTTCTATGACAGCCCAAAATTCACCTGTTGGGTGAGCAGACTGGTTCTTGACAAAGTCCAGGGAAGCGGCGGTAAGACGTCGTGAGGCTGGAAGAATCGTCGAGCGCTTGCTGTAGAGGGACGTGCACAGTACCTTCTAAGCACTCTCGGTCACGTCTTGTTTACCCGCGTGTCGCGCGAGGTTTGATGCATGTTGCTACGGGGATCTAAGGAAATAGTGACGTTCAAGGAGCTTACAGACTAATTGGGAAAAGATGAAAAAATAATTCAGAACTTGTTCGTTATTTTGAGTTAAAGCCGGTTGTGTGATGGGTTATCGTGAGTGGGTGTCTTGATTTCCGCCCCTCCCCAAACCCTCTCCATTTTAGTAAATGTCACTACCATTTATCCACTTGCCCAGGGCAAAATGGGTTTATCTTTGATTCTCCTCTTTCATTTCAGCAAATCTGTCTGCTCTGCCTTCCTAATACATCCGAAATCCAACCCTTCGTCCCTACAGCAGTTACCTAGACCCGGCCGCTGCCTTGTTTCTGTTCGTCCACTGTAACTGGTCTTCTAGCTTCCCCTCCTGCTCCCCATGGGTCTGTCCTTTGTGGAGCCACTCTGGTGGTCTTTGAAACAAAAAAATTAGATCATCTCATTCTCTAGCTCTCAACTTGAGACTGGAAGCCAGGTCACTTCTCAGTCGAATGCATTTGAGTTGCATCCTAGCCTGTTTTCCAGGAATATGGTTATCCAGCTTCAATGACCTTTCTGAGCCATGTCCTCAGTCTGCTGTAATTATAGCTTTTGTAAACAAACTTTTATTTTTGCTTTTTGTTACAGTTCTCGTACTATTCTACTCTAAAATGTGTCTTTCCATCTTCTCTACCTAAATATGAGTGTTTTTCAATAATTGGCCCACCCTCCCTTTCTTTTACCACCTTCAGCCGTATGTGATCGCTTCCCACTCAGAATTCCCATAGCTTTTACTTTGTAAGTAATCCCTGTGTTTACAAAGTGAATGCATTCTATGATGCACTTTTTCTTTCAATAGATATTTACTAAGGGTCTAATATATTTGAGGACGGTATCTTAGGCACTACCTTACAGAGACTGTGGTGTGTTAGGGGCTGTGGAATAGAGTGTTAAACATTACAAAGGAGAATGTGGGCTATCCTCTAACTCAAACGAGGACGATTCTAGATTTTTCAGAGGAAGTAACCCTTAAGCTGAAATTTGAAAGATGGCAAAGTGTGTCTGGTTTTGAGATTTGGGGACTTGGAAAGGGATTTTCAGGCAGAGGCAGCAGCGTGTGCCACAAGCTAGAGGTGAAAAAGACCATGTTCAGGGAACTGAAGGAGCAAGAGCACGGCTGTGGAGTGTGGTGAGAAGAGGGCAGGTCAGTGGCTCTCACACTTGTGGGCCACTTCCCACAAAAAGGAATATATTTTAATTTGCAGCCCAGTAGACTGCATGTGTGTAGCTGAACAAGTTTTGTAAAATGATAATTACCTGTACTTTACTGTGGGTTTTTGTTGTTGTTTGTACCTTTCTGCTCTCTTTTGTATTAATATTGGTCATAATCCATTAATGTAATTTTACACACAGCAATTTGAAAAGCCCTGGGCTACGAAAGTAAGCAGGGCCTTGAAATTCATTGACTTTTCCCTAAGAACTCCTGCAAGCCATACAGCATTTGAAGCAAAAAATTAAATGATTGGATTTGTGTTTAAATTTACTCTGTAGGGAATGGATTGAAAAGAGGCAATCCTGAGACAGGGAGACCAGTGAAGGAGCCCTTGCAGTAATTAAGATGAGGAATGATGGCTTGAATTAGGACATTGGCAGTGGAGATGGAGGGAAGTGGACAGATTAAAGTGATTGAGGAGATAGACTCAAAATGGTTTTATCTGGTGGGAAGGGGAAAGCAAGTGTTAATGAATGACACTTTTATGACTATATGTGGAACAGCCTTGATGGAGGAAGGGGATGGACTCAGCTTAAGGACACTGTGAGTTTGAGATTGTTATAAGGCATAGAAGAGGGGATTTCTAGGAGGTATAAGTCCATGTGGATCTGATGCCTAGAGAAATCTAGGCTGCAGGTGAACTTGTGACAGTTTGTGGGCCTGTGGACAATAGTTGGAGTGTGGAAGTGAGCAGTGAGAGGAGGAGTGGGTACAGGCCTCAATTCCACAGACATGGCTTCTCAAACTTGAATGTGATAGGAATCACCTGGCATCCTGTTAAAATGTAGGACTGGGGTGGGGCTAGAGATTCTGCTTTCCTAACAGGCTCCCAGATGATGCCAGTGCTGTTGGTCTGCAGGTCACTCAGGCTGTACAGTGAGGAACAAGAAAATGTAAAGGATGGGCCCAGGAAGAGAAGCTTGCAAAAGAATCTAGGAAGGAGCAGCCAGAGAAGAGAAAATTAAGGAGATGGGTGTTGTTTTGGAATCCAGGAGTAGTGTTTAAGGGAGAAAAGAGTATATAAAAAAGGGAAAGTAATCAATAGTGGCACACTGCACGGATGTCAAGGGAAGAGCCCAGAATGTCTCTTGGATTTAGCTATCAGTATCCTTGATGAGACCCCTTTCTGTGGAGTGGTGAAGGTAAAAACCAGATTGCAGTGGGGTGGCTGGTGAAGGAGAGGTGAAGAAATAGAGCACTTCCAAGCAGCTTTACTGTGAAGAGGAGGAAGAAAAACAGGGCAGTGGCTGATAGGTGTGGGAGAATTCCAGAGAGGATTTTTGGAGTTTTGTTGTTGTTGTTTTAAAAGTGAAGAGATTTGACTATGTTCATGCTCATGTACTGATGGTAAGGAGCCAGTGGAGAGGAAAAGTTATCAGAGTAGACTAAATTATGCTGTGGTAGTAAAGAGCTTATAACAACATTGGTTTTTCCAGCTGGTTTTGATGGCAGCAAGGAGGGAATATAGGAAATTGTCCCTGCTTCTTAGAAAATCCCATTCACATTTCTCTGACCAGTAGGTCACGTGGTCATGCTTAACTTGAGGGTGGGAAAATGCAGTTCTACCATTTATCTGGAAAGAAGCAAACCAGAATATTGATCCACAGCCTAACGACTACTAAAGAGGCAGCGATTTAGGAAAGGAAGATGAATCTTGATAGGATACAGCCCTGAAGAAGTGAAAGAATTGGGCTGCAGAGCTCAGGTGGAGAGATTAGCCTTAGGTAGGAAAATGAGCTCCTCTTCCATTTTCACAGGAAGGAACAGAGCAAAGGAGGGGTTCTGACACAGGTGGGTTTAGGTTTGGTGACAAGCAGTTAAGGACTTTTCTTTTGGTTTTTGTTTTCTTTGTGAAATGTTGAGGGTGAACAGGAAGGTGGTGGTGTGTTGCAGAGAACGGAGAAAGTGTGAAATAGTTGCAGATAATTAGAAGTTGATGAGATAGATGTGGACAGTTTGCTGGGCATTGTTGAGAGTCTCCTTTGCCCAGAACTTAGAAGCAGAAAGAATATTTGAGGATGTCCAAAAAGGGGGGAAATAATAAAAAAAATCAAATACCATAATAAAATAGTCATGAAACATAAAATGTGTGTCTGAGGTCCTCCAGGCAGCAGGTAGGGTGAAGTGAAGGGTGATGGAACTGGAAGGTTACCAGGGAGGCAGCCTACAAAGAAAGGCGAGATCCAGGTTTGGAGTTTTGGCACTCCTAAGTTCTCCACTGCCCGCAGACTCTGGAGCCTCTCTGTGGGGAGAACCTCGTTTAAAATAATTTATAAAAAATGTAAATTGTGTTTTATTAAAAGGTATAAATTATGTTTCATGGGCTGTTTCGTTTTTCAATCATCCCGCCTTTTGGGGGCTATCTAAAACTCATATAATGGGGTGAGGAGGAGAGGGAAAAGCTTAAAAATGTAAAGTTTTGGTTGGTTGAAGAAATGCTTTAGTGTAAATGAGTTTCAGTTGGAAATAAGCCATTCTTCAGCTAAAAATTACTTAATCTTATCTTTATATTTTGAAAGTGAATTAAAGAAAGAATGGCTTTGAGCCCTTGAGGAGGTTGGAAAGGGTGCAGAAATTAAGCAAACTTTGCTTCAGAATGACTTTATGTCCTGGAGTTCCTTCCCAGAAGAGTCATTAATCAAAGTGCTGTAAATTCTTAAATTTCTAACTGCCAAGAAAAAACATAGTCATCGATAACCTTCTCCTGTAGGTACACGAAGCAGTAAATGTTACTATGTGCTGAAGACATTTCAGAATTTAAAGCATAGGGCAAAAATGTTCTAATAATGACCCTCTGTGTTAGGGGTCACCAAGACCACTCTCAGGTTCCGTGATTTCACTAGAAGGAATCGTAGAACTCTGAAAAGCTGGTGTACTCACAGTGATGGTTTTTTACAGCAAATTATTACAGATTACAATCAGCCAAGGTAAAAAGGTGCACAGGGCAGAGTCCAGGAGAGACCAGGTGGAAGCTTCCAGTGCTAGAGGAGAGGACACATCCTATCTTGGTGAGAAGGATACACCAGTCTAATATATAAGCCATTTTGAAAAGGTTTCTGTGCAATACTGTTAAAAAAAAAAAAAAAAACAAAGGGCTGGCTCGGTGGCATAGTGGTTAAGTTCGCATGCTCTGCTTTGGCGGCCCGGGGTTTGCAGGTTTGGATCCCAGGTGCAGACCTACACACTGCTTTATCAAGCCATGCTGTGGCAGGTGTCCCATGGCAGGTGTCCCACATATAAAGTAGAGGAAGATGGGCGCAGATGTTAGCCCAGGGCCAATCTTCCTCAGCAAAATAAATAAATAAATAAATAAAATTCAGGCTTTAGTGCTTGTCAATAAACAGGTTTTGTTGCAGCTTGTAGTTTCTTAAGGCTTTCCCATCAGCCAGAATTTTACCGTATTGGACTTTTTTTTTTTTTTTTTTTTTGTGAGGAGGACCAGTCCTGAGCTACCATCCAATGCCAATCCTCCTCTTTTTTTTTTTTTTTTTTAAAGATTTTATTTATTTATTTTTTCCCCCCAAAGCCCCAGTAGATAGTTGTGTGTCATAGCTGCACATCCTTCCAGTTGCTGCATGTGGGACGCGGCCCCAGCATGGCCGGAGAAGCAGCGCGTCGGTGCGAGCCCGGGATCCGAATCCGGGTCGCCAGCAGGGGAGCGCGCCCACCCAACCACTAAGCCACGGGGCCGGCCCCGATCCTCCTCTTTTGTGCTGAGGAAGACTGGCCCTGGGCTAACATCCATGCCCATCTTCCTCCACTTTATATGGGACGCCGCCACGGCATGGCTTAACAAGCGGTGCGTCGGTGCGCACCCGGGATCCGAACCGGCGAACCCCGGGCCGCCGCAGCGGAACGTGCGCACTTAACCGCTTGCGCCACCGGGCTGGCCCCTGTATTGGACTTTTTAATTGTATGAGCATAATTTGCTTTCAGTAAACCCTTTAATTAAAGTTATCAGCAAAAGTCTTCTGGAATTCCCCAGAGATCTTATTGTATTCTTTTTGTGTGTTTATTTCTTTAGAGATAGAAATGGTTTTAGCATGAAAGTCGTATATGCTCATTATAAAAGATAGATTTCAACCATTCATCCACTCATTTGACAGACTTCTCTGGAGCATCTGCAATGTGCCAGAAATATATCTGGAAGAAATACTGCAAAAAGTGTAGAATGTGAAGTGAATAACTTTTTAAAAAATTAATAATAATGAAAATAAAATCCTTCACATAATTTTTGCAGCTGGCTTTTTTCATTCAATACTTTGACCATCTTTCCTGTCTGTACACTTGAGGAAAAATCTGTCCACTCTTTTAACTCCTGAGTTTACTTATAATTCAACTAATTATAATTTACAATGATAAAAGTTTTTAAAAGCTCTTGTTTTTATTATGTAGAACCTAACTTGTATTTTTGGTGTGTTTTTTAATTAATTTTCGTTCTCTGAAGCAAGTGCATCATTTGCCACAGTGGATCACCATCCCCATGAGTGCTGATCAATTTTATTTATTCCCTGTGAGCTCAGCCTTATTACTTCCCAATATGTTTGTCTTTTTAGTGTAAGAACTTTAAAATGCTCATTGCAACCAAAGTATTATTTCCAGTTTTCAACTTAGATTTTTGTTCTTAACAGAACATTTGTGTTTTTAATAACTCTAATTGTGGATATCTTTGAAAATTTAAGATTGTGAAAAATTCATAATAATTAGTAAGTGAGAGTAGGAGGTAAAGAAACCAAAGTTTTAGTAAGGGACATAAATATGCTTTCTTTGCCCGTCATATTAGAGCTAGTTTTATAGATACGTAGCAGAAAAAGGTCTAGAAGGATGTATACAAAAATGTTAACGTTGATTAGGTCTAGGAAGTGAAATTGGGCTAGAGGACAAGTTGTGTGGGGTATCTTGAACTTTCTTTTATGTGTTTATTAAACATGTATTACTTTGCCTTTATTTTTCTTTTAGTTAACAGATAATTTTGCACATGCTTTCTCATGTTTATAAGGGTGATTTTTCCTTTGCACAAAATAGAGAGCTGTCGTGCACATGGACGAGCGTCGAGAAGAACAAATTGTGCAGCTACTGCATTCAGTCCAAGCTAAGAACGATAAAGATTCAGAAGCACAGATCTCCTGGTTTGCTCCTGAAGATCATGGGTAAAGCAAAAATGTTCTTTTAAAGGATGGGCAAAGAGTAACACTTCTTTTATAGCATTGGCTAGGGAGAAAAGATAATAACAAAAACATCTTTAGGTTCTTCAGTAAGTGAAATTTAACCTCAAAGTAATTTTTTTTTGCTTATGTAGATTGAGCATATTTGGTGAAAGATAAAAAAATTTAGATGGCATATTCATTCCCACAGAAAGCTAAATGGTAGGAATAGTCTATCTAGATATGAGATTTAGTAAGTTATTATTTATTGTTCTTTGCTGCTGTTTAGAAAAATCACAGGAGCTGTATCATTTAGAGGAAAAATTAGTAGAGGTTTTTCTGGGACTGTGTAATGTAGCATTCTGTTTATAGCTCAGAGAGGGTGGCAGGAAGAAAGTGAAGTTGTGAAATAAAATAAGGCTCAGAAAAAGAAAAACACTAAGTTATTGCAATGGAGGAATGACTGTTGTGTGGATTTTTATTTTTTTAACTACCACAAGGAATAATTTATCTGGTAATATCTATTTATGGGGAGGAAAAATCTGAATTCATTGTAAGAATCTAAATATTTTTATAATTGCTCTACTAAGAGAAAAGAATAAAAGCTTTTGATTTGGGTGCTTTTGAAATAAATAGCGTATTGTTTCGGGGCTCGAGTGGCTATTTATCATTTTTTTATTTTGTCAAAATAGATATGGTACTGAAGCTCCTGCTGAGAACAAACCAAACTCGGAGAAGAAACTTGAGGACCAGGAAAAGAAATTGATAAATCAGGAAAAGCAGATGTTTAGAATCAGGGACAAATACATTGACCGAGATTCTGAGTATCTCTTGCAAGCAAATGAACCAGATATAACCTTAGACCAACAATTATTGGAAGATTTACAAAAGAAAAAAACTGACCTTCGCTATATTGAAATGCAGGTAATGGAAAGCAAGATGTGGAAAAAACTTTTACTTGTGATCTCTTCTCATACTTGATAGAAATGTGTTTATGGTTAGAGGTAGCTGCGTGGCACAGACCAGTGAGATTCCTCAGCAGGCCGTCCTCTGTGGGAATTTTCATTTCCCGTACAGTAGAGAAAAGCAGTGGGAGTGGAATTACACATACAGTAGCCTGTCTCTCCTACAGCAGCTTACATGGTGAGAGGGAGAAATATTTGAGAAATGGTAGTACATATGAAAAAAAATCACTTAACTTTTCTAGGCCAGTTTAGTGAGATGTCAGAAGAGACAAAAAAGCCTTTGTAGAATTGTAAAATTTCTTCTGGACCATTTAATCCAACTCCTTTCTTTTACTTATGATAAAATTAAATCTCTCAAGAGTTATATGATGTGCTCTATTCACCAACATTTTCAAGGCAGGACTGTGAGAAGAACTGAAATTCTCCTGAGTTTTTCCATTATTTTCTTTCCACACTAGGCAAGATATTTTAAAGTCCCTTCCTGTTGAAACATAAAAGTATATGCTCTGCAGATGTTCTAGAGAGAGATGTAATAAAATGTTCACATGTATTTTTTTATTAAGAGTTTAAAATACTGAGGAAATTCTGAGGGCCGTATCATTAATATGCAGATACGTACTGCTGTTGTGAGGAAGGCAGACTGTCACATCTCCTGTAGTAGAAAAGAAAGGATGCGTTGACAGCTGATGATGCTGGTTGGATATCTTGATAGAACAGATGAGCCGAGGTTATCCAGACGCCAAATTGGGTAGTTCTTTGATGGCTGTTGAGTGAAAATATGATTTGAGAACAGAGGGGATTTCAAGATGAATTAATTCAGAATGTTGTGATTGAGAGCAGAGCTTCTTTCATAGCCTTAGGAACAAGGAGAGTTAGCTACTGTCTATTTGTTTTGTGTGGAGGACAGAACTCAAATATTATTGAAGATGAGTGAGTGATCTAGTTCAGAGAAAGTTAGCAGAAGAAATGTGCAGAACGTAAAAACAGTTGTTGGTCTTCCTGTTGTCCAGACACGTGCACTACATCGTTTAAACCTCCCAGCAACCCTATATGAAAAACTGTGTCTGTTACAGATGAAGAAAAGAATCTTAGGTTAAGTGACCTGTCTATGGTTGCACAGCTAGTAACAGAACCAGGTCTAATATTCAACCAGCTCTAAAATTTAAGAGCTCAGCTTTTAAATCCTTCTTGATAATGTGCCATATTTTTTCTTTATGTTATAATTTATTTAATAAATGTTAATTTTCCACTTGTGAGATGTCTGTCATTGTACTGTGTTTTTTGAAGACTGATAAGACATTCCCTCTTCTTAGGTAGCTTATCATCTCATATTTCAGCGTTATAACCAGACATTAGGAAATAGGTTTGTCTGCCTTGGAAAAGAATATTGGTTTATAACTCGCTCTCTTTAGCAGCATTTACATATATAGAAAGCAAATATGATTACTGCTAGTTTGGGATTTAATGGGATAGTTTGTATATACTTAATATTAAGATGGTTATGTTTGACTACATGGGGTATTAATATTTTTAGAAATATTAAGAATTGTTTTTTAAATAATTTTAAAATTATAATAAAAGAAATTACTGAGAAAAATGTGGTGACTTGTTATTGCAAAGTACTAGACTTTGTTTAAGTCACCACACTGGCTCTTGTTTTTGTGGTGCTGGTGAGAATTACCTGACCATAAAAAACGTGGCGTGTACAGCCTGGTGACCAGAGTTAATGCCACCATTACATTTCTTTTGTGAAATTAAAAGCTTTTTTTTTAATTTCAGCATTTCAGGGAAAAGCTGCCTTCATATGGAATGCAAAAGGTAAAGTGAATATACACTGTTTAATTTGATCTGCAAGATACTTAAACATAATTTTTTTTTTAAAAAAGTTCTATATGAAGAAGAAATTTAAATTAATGTACCTTCTCCTAAAGGGTATTATTGGAAGTTCATTTTATTCTTTTAGATTGTTGAAGGACCAAAAAAACAGTCATGAAACAGTTTTCCTGAAGTTTTCTCATGTATGTCCATAATTGAAATCTTTAGAGTTTAAAAAATAAAATTTTCATATATATGTTACTTTAGGTAAATACCCTTGTTCTTAATTTTAGACTAAATATTTTAATTAAAATTGAAGCACTACTGAAAATATAGTGCTTTAATTAATTTATTATGCTTCATCACACAGTCACCCTGTATAAAATAACTTAGCCCCCATCCTTCTCTGTCCTCTCAACCTGACTTTATTTTGATTTTTCTTTAGTTTTCATAGCACTTACTACCACCTGACATCTGTGTGTCTTCCCCTCTTAGGCCAGTGTCAGTTCTTTTTTTTTTTTTTTTTTTTTTTTTATTTTTTTTTTTTTTTTTTTTTTTTTCCCCCCAAAGCCCCAGCAGATAGTTGTATGTCATAGGTTCACATCCTTCTAGTTGCTGTACGTGGGACTCGGCCTCGCGCTGGACGGAGAAGTGGTGCCTTGGGGCGCGCCCGGGATCCGAACCCAGGCCGCCAGCATCAGAGCGCGCGCACTTAACCGCTAAGCCACAGAGCCGGCCCCAGTGTCAGTTCTTGAGGATAGTTTTTCTTGTTCACTGTATATTTCTTGACTCAGAACAATGCCTGACATCTGCAGACCCCAGTGAATACTTACTGAGTGAATGAGCCATAAATTCGGCTTCTCAGTATTTACCAGCTATAATTTCCATGTTCAAACTTGGAACTTGTTCTGATATATATGATGAGTTAGAATAGATAGGAAATTTTTAAAAGGTGGGTTTTCAAGTTAAATTGTTTTGTAGATAAAAATAATCCGTAACAACCTCTTTGAAGTAGTAAGATGGTTTTGTTAATACAGTGAATATTAATATTAAAGATATTAGTGTTTATCTGAAATTAAGAAAGATGATCTTTCCCAAATATGAGGTTTTCTAGATACCTGAAGATTGATTTAGGTATTTAGGTATCCAGATACCCATTTGATTTAGGTATTTTAAAACTTGTCTTTATTTTAATTATTTAAAAGGAAATAATCTTAAATTATACTCTTCCTCGTTCTCTAAAACAGTATATAAAACTTGCCCTGCTGCAGACAAAGGTCTATGTATAAATTACGCTATAAATCCTTAGTGTCCTCAATAGTTGTTTAGGTATCAGGAAATTAGCCTTGTATTCAGCAGCCCCACATGTCACCATTCTTTTTAATAAGTTAATTGTTATGCATGGAACTTAGGAGCTGTCTCTTCTTGTTCTTGTCAGTGTGTTTTTCTTTAATAGTGCCTTGGCTCTATTCTTCTGGTAATTTAGTGAGTTTTATCTCTTGAACACTGGTAGATCCAGATATCCAAACTGCCAGCGTTGCATATAACAAAATTTAAAAAGCATTAGTATGTTTGTTAAAAACAGTTACCTTCGGTTTGGTAGAATTTTGATTACTATCTTTTCAGACTTAGTCAACATGTGATGTCCTTCACTTATTTTCCCTTCTGAAATAGGAATTGGTAAATATGATCGATAACCATCAGGTAACAGTAATAAGTGGTGAAACTGGTTGTGGAAAAACCACTCAGGTTACTCAGTTCATTTTGGATAACTACATTGAAAGAGGAAAAGGATCTGCATGCAGGATAGTTTGTACGCAGCCAAGAAGAATTAGTGCCATTTCAGTAAGTAAGCTCTCACTTTTTAAAATTCTCCACTTTATTTTTCATTCTCCTTTAGGTGGTTTTGCTAAAACTTACTGATTTTGAAGGTTTGGAGTGATTCTTAATTAGGTTTAGGATACATTGCTATGAAAGCAAATATTTGGTTGACAAATATTTGGCAGTAGTGACCAAAAGATTGAGTGACTTCTATCTTACTGATATAGATGTTTATGAGTTCAAGATAAGTTATAAATCCAGGCAAATTTAAGTATAAAACTAGAAGAATGAAAAACTGATACATTTTTATAGAATTGATTGTGAATTTCAAATAATGTCCATCAGTAGATGCTTTAAATTTTACTACTTGATTCAGTCAATATTGTTTTCAGTTCTGTTTTTTCAGTATGTAAGTACACCAAATGGTGGTGAAAGCAGGAAGCCTTGCATATTATTTTTAGCTGCATTTCTGATTTTTTTTAATGTAATTATTCAATAAGGTAATTTATCATGAAAAAAATAAGGCGTTTCAGGTTTATCATGTAACAGTTATAAGTACATGTTTATTACAAATAACATTTTTTGTTTAGTTAGATGACCCTGTTAAATGTATGAGTTATATATTCTTTAAAGGTGTTTGGGGTTTCTTATAACATTCAATGTGTATAGTAAATTTATTTCAATGTTATATAATTCTGTATAAATTCAGATTGTGAGGATTTCTGGTTGTGTTTGGTTTTATGATAGTGTTATTTATGATATCTCTAAATCATTTAATACAGAATATGTGGTCAAGAACTTCATTACCAATTATGGCAATCTTTTGGAGGAAATACAATATACATTTTAAACTATGGTTTCTAAGAAATATTGTGAAAAAAAGTAGAGCAACAGTCTTTATGGGGGACCATAGTCCTGGAATTGCGTAAGGTTACAGAATGCTGAAAAATAACCACTTTTGTCATAATGCAATTATGTAGCTAGACCTAAGTAAGTTAAAAATGTAATCTTAGTATTTTCACTAATATATGGCAGTTACCATATATATTGATGGTAGCAAGAAATGCTAACTAGGTTATTGTTTGTTTTTCTAAGATCTTTTGGTATTTGTATGGGCTGTTTAATGAGTAGTAAAGAGTGAAATAATGGTCTAAGTCAGTATATATGGGATATACTGATGGGAAAATTTTACTTCTGAAGTATTCTTAAAATTTAATCATGTGATTTTCTATTTCTAACCTTGTAAATTGACTGTTCTGTCACAAGATGACTGTTGGTTATTTTAGTTACACGAATCAGTTTTGGATTATAATAACATTTCATCTATCCAGAGCTTATCTTTGGCAGCCATAACTTTCAGAACACAACCAAGAACTGGGAGTTAAGCAACACCCATCTCTACCAAAAAGAAAAGTGAGAAAAAAGTATCGATATATATTTACCCTCAAATTACACACAAGTTTTATAAGTTTAGACCATGATTTCCAACTCTTTTAGAAAAGACAAAAAAAAAAGGTAGACATTAATGAGAGGATGCTATGTAGAAAGGCACTTTGAAAATAGTGATGAGAGAGAATTTGACCGTGGAGGACATTATAAGAGGAAATGAAAAGTAAAGATAAGAAATAAGGAGTCTGTAGCTCTTAAGGCACACACAGTTTTAGATACCTCACATTTTAATACATGTCTCTGTTTCTTTAACTCATGTGAAAATCTGATGAACAATTTTCTAGCAATCTCAGATTTTCATGGACGTTCAGAATATTTGTCCTGAAGGAAACTGCATTTTCTTCATAACTGTGTTTTATTTTAATTAAAGGTTGCAGAGAGAGTGGCTGCAGAAAGGGCAGAGTCTTGTGGCAATGGTAATAGTACCGGATACCAGATTCGTCTCCAGAGGTAAAGAGTGTTCACTTCTTGTTTACAGGTAGATTTTAGTAAAACTTTGAAACTGGAGGTTCACAAGAAAGATAGTCCCCATTTTTATGCTGACAATTACTATTAAAGTTAACATTTAAAGTAACTGCAGTGTAGGAGGCTTGCAACCCACAAACTCAGTTTTTTAACCCAAATTCAGATTTGGATTGCCTTTTTAAAATCTACTTTTACATTATGGAATAATTAAAAAGTAACTTTTTTCCTGGACGTACATTAGGAGACCATCACTCCCCCTGAAAGGAGTTGGTGTCCTATGCCTTTTGCCCCCACCACCCACCCCATGACTGACTTTATTGGTGTCTGTAACCCCCTATCCCACTGCACTGTATTTCTTTAGTCTTTCTCTGGAGCTTCAGATTCCAATTACTTTTTTAAACGAACTGACTTTCCAGTCACTGAACAGAAGTTTAGGCCCCTAAGTATTCGGTCATTTTCCAGATGTTAATGGTGATGCCTTTAAAAAGAAATCATTAACATTGTATCATGACAACAAAAATAGTGTATAATGAACTTGAATGTAATATTTCGCATTACCCTATCATGGTAGGCATTCCTATAACTGAAAAATTGAGAAGATTCTCATTAAAATAGAAAGCATTTTAACTTTTGTGTTAGTACTTAGTAATAATTACACAAGTAATTTTAAACTTGTGGTGGTATTAGTAAAGAATTGTTAATTCGTGTCTTTTATCCACAGTCGGTTGCCAAGGAAACAGGGTTCTATCTTATACTGTACAACAGGAATCATCCTTCAGTGGCTCCAGTCAGACTCGTGAGTATGTTTCAGTTCAGGACATTTAGTTAAATATGATCAAAATATGTAATTATTAAATGGGATTTTACTAATTATTAAGGCAAAATGATTCAGTGTTTAAATTTGTGTTGAGTTACGTACTTTACACCTCTGCTTTAGGCATCTGTCCAGCGTTAGTCATATTGTGCTTGATGAAATCCATGAGAGAAATCTACAGTCAGACGTTTTAATGACTGTTATTAAAGAGCTTCTCAGTTTTCGACCTGATCTCAAAGTAATATTGATGAGTGCAACATTGAATGCTGAGAAATTTTCAGAATATTTTGGTGAGTAAAATTTATTATAACTTTATAAAGTGATCACAAAGCCACTGAATTTAGAGTTAATTTTTTAAAATACAAGTAATACAGTGCTAGGTTCAGAGTAGTCATATGTTTAGCAGTGCATTTTATTTTAATACTCCCCTACCCTCCAGTCTCACAGATTAGAGAATTGGGCCTGGTTTTCAATGGTGGCGTCTTCTCTGTTCTCATAGGAAAGATGTGTAGGTTTTTGGTGCTACCACCAGATAATTAAGGTGGCATCAATGAAGTCCAACCACAGATTTGAATAATTTTATAAACGTTTTTTGTGATTCTTCACTGGATTTTTATGTAGCAGTAATACTGGCAGTCACTTAGGGAACACCTTCGGTGTGCCAGGTAGTACATCTGGAACTTTGTCTTCGTCGGTCCTTGTAATAGCTTGTGAGGTAGATGCTGTCACTCCTGTTTTACTGTTGAGAACACAGCCTCCGAGCAGTTACGTAGCTTACCCAAGGTTACACAGTTAAGCAGAGAGCTGAGAGGACGTGAAACTAAATTTGACCAGCTGTAAAGGACATTCTTCTAAAATTATGCCTCATTGTCTCTTCTGCTTATAATTGTGGTGGGAAGGAGGCGGAAGGGGTGGGAGTTAGGATGGAGAACAGCAATGTTTAATCACTGTTCTTAGATTCAGCCCATGTTTTGTCTGCCATAATAGGTAACTGTCCAATGATACACATACCTGGTTTTACTTTTCCGGTTGTGGAGTATCTTTTGGAAGATATAATTGAAAAAATAAGGTAAGTAAATATTAGGAAATAAAAGAAATTAAAAATTACTAATGTCACCTGCCTCCTGTCAAACTTAACTAGTCTCAGAAACTCACTGTTAACCATTTCCTTCTAATACATTATTTTTCCTTAATTCAGGGATTCCCAAACTTGATTGACATATTTAAAATCACCCGGAGCCTTTTAAAATTCAGATGCCACATTCATTTCTCTATCCCTTAATTACATTACAGTGTCTGGGGTGGTAGCCAGGCATCGATTTTTTATTTTTTATTTTTGTGAGGAAGATCAGCCCTGTGGTAACATCTGCCAATCCTCCTCTTTTTGCTGAGGAAGACTGGCTCTGGGCTAACATCCGTGCCCATCTTCCTCTACTTTATATGGGACGCCGCCACAGCATGGCTTGACAAGCGGTGCATCGGTGCACGCCCGGGGTTCCGAACCCGGGCCCCCAGCATCAAAGTGTGCGCACTTAACTGCTACACCACGGGGCCGGCCCCCAGGCATCGGTATTTTCTAAAGATCCCTGGGCAGTAAAGTTTGGGAACCTCTGTCTGCAGTGCTTGAACCTCTCTTCTGGTTCTCCTACCTGGTTTTCGTTCTCCTTTGCTGGCTTCCATTGCCCACCCTTTCAGTATGATTTTCCCCTGGGGTTCTCAGTTAGCCTTTTCTCAGTCTTTACGGTTTCTCTGTGCAATCCTATTTCCATGACCACAGTTCTGTGTTTTCACAGCTCTCAGAACTGTAGCTTCAGAACTGAAGCTCTTGCGGAACTCTGAGCTTCTTATGTAATTCTGTACTAGCAGCATTCCAGTACTCACGTTTTTCAAACCTAAATCATTATCGTATATTCGATCCCCACCATGCTTCCACCAGAAAGGTAAAACAAAACAACGTGTCTTGCTCAGTATGCCTATAGGTTACTGATATCCTTCTTCCAGTTGTCTAGGCTGTAAATCAAAAGAGCTAGTGTTTATCATCAGTTAGTACCAGGATGTGTTCACTGCCTCACGTGCTCGATAACCAAGTGAGTCTACCTCATTCCTTACTTTCCCCCAGCGCAAGCCCTGAGAGCTTTCTCCTTGAGCTTGCCTTCCTGTTTTTGTTTCTTCTAGGTAAGGTGCTTGTGCTCTCCCCTGTGCTAGTATAATAGTTCCTCTTTTGGCACTGTGGCCTTAGTCTCACAACTGCAGCCATATATTTTCCTAAAAAATCTGGTTATTTGAGCTTTCTGCCCCCTGAGATTTCTCTTTAAAAATTTGTTTGAGAACCTTTATTGGTTTCTCGTGGCCCATAGCAGGGCACCTCAGCAGGTGTGCCCGTTATGGGTCCCCTCAACACTCTGGCCATTAGCTACTAGCAGCCCTCTACAAAGGGCTGCACAAAACGACATTTGTGCTCCTGGATGAGGAAAGGGCTGGGGCCAGGTTCCATTGCCTTAGCTGGTCATCCTAAGGCTCCTTACAGTCTGCCCCATCTTCTTTTTCTAGCCTCATCCATCCATGGCCGGCCCATGCTAAAGGCGCCATTCTCCACACACCAGCCCTCGCCCTTTCATTCATGACTTTGTGCTTTGTTACGTGCTGTTTCCTCCTTTTAGACTTATATTTACCACCTTCTCCATCTTTTCATTTATAAACTATTGATTATATAAGAACAAATCTCAGCATCGTTGTCCATTGAGCCTTCTCTGATACCTCTCACAGAGTGAGTTCCTTTCTCATCTGGACTCCCGTGGCACTTTTATCATATCTGTTACAACACTTACCTTATTGCCATGGAATGTCTTTGTAGTTGCCTCTTGTGCTAGATTATACGTTTTCTGAGGTCAAGGGTTTTGTGGTGTTCATCTTTGTGACTAGTGCATACATAGCACAGTGCCTGGCCTATAGTAAACATCTGAATAAATGTGTGGACAGATGTGGAAACACTTGAGATTTTTCAGGACTCCACACCTGTGGAGTGAAACGAGAAACGAGAAAGCAGGAAGTGACAGTGGGAAAGCGAGAACAGAGACCCTACAGCATATATTACATGGAGAAAAGTCAGCTGAATTTTGAGTGGACATTTATCTAACATATTTATTAAACTTTGTGCCTTGCACTGAGTGCTAGGGTCTGAGCATAAAATCAGGAAAGATTTGGCAAACACCCTCAGAGTTGATATCTAGACAGGGAGACATAGGAGGTATGACTGACCTGCTGTGGGAAAGGAGAGTGTATTGGGAACGTGACGATATAGCAGGGATAGGCTGGGCAAATCAGGAGAGCAGTGAAATCAGAGTAGGAAAAGAGGGACGTGTGTGTTAGAGAGGGTGGGACATGCTAAAAGATATGGTATGTCGGTCTTCCATGCTCTGGTTTTTGCATCAATGCCCATAAATTTGTGTGCCCTCCCTCCTGATTCAACTTTCTACCATGTGTCCCACCTCCTACTGTAGCACATTTACCAGTGTTTTCTAAGAGAATAATAGGCAACAGCTTGAAAATAATGAAAAGAAGATCAATAATCTAAATTTATGTAAAGATAAATTGCTTTCTTAAGCTCCCTGGAAGGCAGGGAATGTACAAGGAACTGTGGCTGAGGGGTCTCTTGAAGCAAAAGGGTGGTATCTCTGTACTTGTCATCCCATAGCCAGCCTTTAGAGGGGAGTTGAAGGAAAGTGGTCCTTGGATAGAAGTTTCCAGCAGAAGCCCCCGCTGTCCCCTCCCCGGAAGAAGAGCTGCACTACGGAAAGGAGGAGGGAACCAAGTAGCATGTGAGGATGAGGAGGGTGGTGGTTGGGCCCTTGGGGTGGGGGGTTGAAGGTACCTCTGTTTTGGAATTGCTGGGAAGGGAGCCAACTGTGGGTCCATCCTGCTGACTAGGATTCGTCTCTGTCTCAGGTTGCCCTCCCTCGAGGTGGTGCCTCTATATGTATCGAAGACTTAGGGGAATCCTGGGTCACAGGTACTGCATAGGGAAGGGGATTCCCACTCTGGTGTCTGCTATGTGTCAGGCACAGTGCTTCACTCTATCACACTTTTTTTGTTATTTTCATGCCAGTACTGTTAGAAGAGTATTCATCTCTCACACAAGGAAACTAAAGGCCAGAGGTTTTACTTTGTCCAGGTTCATACAGCTAGTCACTGGCAGAGCAAGGACATCAGGCTCTTTCTGTCTGGCACACAAAGGCCATGCTCTAAACCCTGCATTCCATCTAGATGTTGTTTCTTAGGTGAACTCTGAGGGGCTTTGGGGTTAAAGTTCAATTTTCTTTGTCTCTCTCTACCCCATGCCTCTCAGAGCCCACTTGTGGTAGATGGCATTCTTGGGCAGATGTCCCTCTGTTTTTAGCAGTTGCTGCAGCATGGTGGAGTCATGGTATAGCACTGGACTGGCATGTGAGAGATCTGAATGCTGATTCTGGCTCTGCCATTAGCTGTGTCTATGGGACTGAGCAGAATTAAATAGTTCCCAGTGTGGGTCTGCAGATCTATAGATACACTATCTGAATCTTCTGGAGAACTGATCAAAATTCCTGGATTAGCAGACCCCAGCCAGACCTGCTGATCTCAAGGTCCAGGAGTTAGGAATTTATATTTTACAAACTCTCCAGGGGACTTCCATGTGTACTCAGGTTTGGAAACCTCCTGTATTCAAAATCTGAGTTATTTACTATACAATCATTAACTACTGTTTTGGACTTACATTAATGTTAACTTTTGTTTTAGAGCAAACTTAAAATTGAAGGTGAAAGTTACTGTAGTACTTATTTTTTAATTTTGATTGCTAAAGATATAGAAGTATAGAGTAGATAGAGGTAGATAGAGAGGAATGATTTTTATCTAAAATGTCAGATTTTATGTGTTAACGAATATTTGCAAATAAATTGATATTTAACTAGCATTCACTAGAAAGTATAGTATATGTTAAAATCCTAAATATAAAAGTCATAGATATTAGCTAAAACTAAAGCGTTTCAAAAAAGTGAAGCTATCGAAGAATGTTTTTGTTTTAGATATGTTCCAGAACAAAAAGAACACAGATCCCAGTTTAAGAGGGGTTTCATGCAAGGGCATGTAAATAGACAAGAAAAAGAAGAGAAAGAAGCAATCTATAAAGAACGCTGGCCAGATTATATAAGGGAACTGCGAAAACGGTAAGTTTATTTTGTTTGAAAGTGAGAACACAGTGGCTTAATGACTAAAACAAAAAGCAAGGATTGTCTTATTGAATTTGTACAGATTTAAGGAGAGCATTACAGGTCTCATAACCCAGCTAAATACTGTGCTCATTTGACTTGTAAACACTCAATATCCCAGTAATTCTCTCCTGTCTGTTGATGATGTTCTCCTCTTTGCAGATTGAGTTAATTTTAAGATTTTATAGCAAGTTAAACCTCAGGAAACTTTATCCAGTATTTCATGACTTTGTATTTAACTTTGATAGGTATTCTGCAAATACTGTAAGTGTTATGGAAATGATGGATGATGATAAAGTTGATCTGAATTTGATTGCTGCCCTTATTCGATACATTGTTTTGAAAGAAGAGGTTAGTTTTGTTTTGTTTTGTTCAAGTGACTTAATTTTAATTTTATTTTCGTATCAAGGTCATGAAAAAAGAAAAAATTTTCTTAAATGCTTTTTAAAAATAGCCTATGAAAGAAATTGCTTTTGACACCAGAAGTAAGAATCTCAAAATACCAAAAGATTTAGACATTTGACCTATTTGAAGAAAAGACTAAACAAATGAAATATCTGGATTATAAATCCCATTTTTAAGAAGAGTGCTTGTATTCTTTGGTTGTAATCAGTTAACTGAAAGTATCCTGAGCTAGTGTAATTTTAATGAAGACTTACATGTGCACAGGATTTTAGTCTTAGTGTATTTTGTCACGTGATTCTTTGTAACGGTGTTTCCCCTCCTTGCAGGATGGTGCAATATTGGTCTTTCTACCAGGCTGGGACAATATCAGCACTTTACATGATCTTTTGATGTCTCAAGTGATGTTTAAATCAGGTATCATAGAAACGTATTTTATTGCAATTCCAAGAGTGGAACTTGAATTATATGTAGCCTGGTCTTTTCTTTCATTTGGAGAAGTCTTGCTTCTAAGGCTTCTTCAGTGTAAGAACTTGGTGGTCTTAGCCCAGGTTGGGTTTTTCCACAGGTTGGATCTTTTTTTTCCCTAAAGTTCTAGAGTCGCAGATGAAGATGGTGGGTATGTAGTGAAGTTCTTTATTTAGTGTTATGGTGAGAATATTTTTCCTCTCTTCCTAAATTTGCGTAATAAAACTGAGCCCTTTAAAGGTAAGATGTTGGCCTTTGAGGTTTTGTGTTTTTTCACCCACTGCTGCATTTAGTTGGGCAGAAAAGAAGTTTGAATTGGTTCCTCACCTCTGACTGTACAGCAGAGTTGTCCATGGCACTTCTTTAAAATTCAGATACCCAGACCCCGTCCTCACCCCCAGTCTAAGAATGTGACCTGAACATCTGAAGTTTAAAAAATTTCTCAGGTGATTCTGATTCTTTAACAGCATATTTTGAGAGATATAACCTCTTATATCTTAGAAAAATGCATGGGTACATTTTTCTCCTATAAAATTCAGTTAAAGCATTTTCAGGAGTCATTATTGACTTCAAATCAATAAAATACAGAGCAAATTCTATTTAGTATTTTATAGTTCTGAATATAATTTCTAACCTTACTCTCTTCAAGTGCTTTTGACACATTTTATTTTTACAAAACACTAAAAAATATTTTGATCTAATTATATCGGCCAGAATAGTAAAGGTGTATTTTTTCATTGTTAAATCCCATTATGATAATGCCTCAAAGCATTCTCTATAATGAAAATTATTTACTGTTTTCTAGCTTGAAAAATATTTTTGTCTGATTACCGTGACTTCTCTAAAATGGAATACTGCTTTCTCTTTTCTTTGTCAGTGAGAACCTTTCTCTGTAGAAAAAGTATAGTCATGATTAAACTATACAATTAAATTATTTTTTTAAACAACTGGAATTTTTTTTTGGCCGAACCTTCCGACTTTGGCCTCTCTTTTTCTCATCATAAATACTACTGTATTATCTGCTTTTAGTTTTAAAAAAATGTAAGGGTGTGTATATATTTACCAAGAAAAATACAGGGAAGATATCTACCAAAATGTGGTATTGGTATTATCATGTCTGGAGGATTGAGGAAAGGGTGTGGTACTATAGATTATTATAATTGACTTCATTGTCTTTCTCGTTTAAATAAATTATGCTCAAATATAGAGGTATTGATTTGTACTTTTACCACAAGCTCAATTCCTTTTAAGGAAAACCTTTCAAAAATTTAACAAGAATGTTTTTTCTCAAATTATATTTTAAGAATTTAGCCTTAATAATCAGTTTTATTGTGCTAACCATTATAGAAATGGGGAAATTTGGCCTCTGTTCTGACTGAAGAGCAAATCTCAAAACTCAGCTTATCGAATGCTTATCAACCTTATTTCTTTCTTCTCATAAGAATGTTAAATATGTTCCCATTGACTACTTTGTGAAATATTAGCAGTATAAACTATTTTTTTCCCAGTTATGAACAAAATTGTTTTTACTTTCGTTATCCTTGGCTGCTAATTTTTTAAACTTTTTGTAATGAAACATTTTCAGCTTACAGAAAACTAGACAGTCTTATAATGGACACGATATACCAATGACTTTAATGCAACAATTATTTTTGTGGTCTAATTTTTTCCTTTTTAAAGTCAATTGTAGCTATCACATGTTATCTCTAAATATTTAAGCATACATCTCTAAAAATACAGTTTTCTGTGCAACCACAATGCCATTAGCATACCTAATCTTTAACATCATCTGATAATCCAGTCCATAATCAAATTTTCCCATTTTTCCCCAGAAGTGTCTTTCACAGCTAGCTTGTTCAAACTCTAGAAAAAGTCAAACCAGATAAACCTTTTACTCTAGTTCTAAAACGTCACTCCCGTCCTCCCCCTACTTTCCCCATGGTAATGGCTTGTGGAAAAGACTAGGTCTAACTTTCTGGATTTGTGTGAATCTTTATGGTATCATTTCATTTGATCCTCCTGTATTTCCTGTAAACTGGAAGTTCTATCTGAAGGCTTGATTCAGTTCAAGTATTTTTGGCTGAAATATTAATTGAGTTGATGTATTTCATATTATATCACAGAGACAAATAATTCAGAGCATTCCTTTTTAGCAATACCAATTGCTTGACAGCTTTTCATTACTTTTTAAGTTCAGAAGGGATGGAGAGTGGGGAGCATCATCTCTTTTCAATAACAACAGTTCTTTACTGGGGAAATACAGATACCTTGAGTCATTTGGACACTGTTGCTAGAGATTTAAGTCAGGTTGCATTTTTTGTAACTAGCTAAACATGAAATTTACCCTTCCTTCCTTAACAGTTGCCCTCCTTCCCATCAATGTACTGCACCAAACTTGCTCTCTATTGGCTAATAACCATGAATGGGCTAGAGCTATTTCATTTTGAAACTTAAAGTGTATGGGTATAATTTCTTATGTTTCTAGCAAAATTATGTTTAAAAATGTGAGGGGCTGGTCCCATCGCCGAATGGTTCAAGTTCCACGCGTTCCACTTTGGTGGCCTGGGTTCAAGGGTTCAGATCCTGGGCGAGGACCTGCTCCACTCGTCAGCCATGCCGTGGAGACGTCTCACATACATAGTGGAGGAGGGTTCCCACAGATGTTAGCTCAGGGCTAATCTTCCTCTGGCAACGGATGTTGGGCCAATCTTCCTTACCTCCCCCGCCCCCCCCCCAAAAAAAAAGTGGGTCACTTTTGGAATGTAATACATTTAACCAGTGCTATTTCATTATTTTTTTAGGATGTGGAAATTTAATAAGTAATTTGCTTTAGAAGTTCAGATATTCTTTTTATGATTAAAATAGTGAGGATCACTCAAAGTCTATAAACTATATTCATATTAAGCAAAATTCTGTGGTCTTCAGTTACATGATGGGAATGGAGTTGATGTTTTTCTAGTATAATTTGAAAAGATTGCTTCTAACTTTTAAGCGTTCTTTAAGAATTTGGGGAATATACTTATCAATATGAAATAAATGAACAGAGTAAAATGTTGACAAGAACTTGTTGGAGCACTCAGAAAACAAGAATATAAAAAGAATAAAGTTGGTCTGATTATATGTGGGAATATATATTAAGAATTATGTGACTTAGCATCTGAATTTATTTTTCCATATATGTCTGATGGAGCTTTTCTGCAACTGTTTATCTTAAAGTTTAATTTTCTTTCTAATTTCCAGACAAGTTTCTTATTATACCTTTGCATTCACTGATGCCTACAGTTAACCAGACACAGGTAAGTGGTTAAGTTGATCCACTCTGTCTTTCAAACTGAGGCCGGCTGTAAGGACTGCTTATTGTTTGTTTTATTTTTTAAGGGACATTTTCAAAGAGTAATCCATATAAGAAGTACTTCTTTGAGAGCCTTTGCAAATGAGTCTTCAGGGGATGATTGCACAAAAACTTGAATAAGAGAGGGTAATCCACACATCAAATTAGTTTTGTCAACATTAGGAAAAAATTGAAAGATTGGTTTCACCAATAACTTGTTTGAGTTTCCTGAATAAAAGAAAAAGGTGTGTGAGTAACAATAAAAATGACTCAACCTAGGAATTAATTATCTATGACATACTACAGCTTAATATTTGAGATTTTGACTTAACAGAATTAGGGTATTTGCAGGTATGGGATTTCCTCTTTTATCAATAATGTGTTATAGTTTTGAATGTTTTGGCTCTCTCTGATTCAGGGATTTCTCTAGTTAGAATGAACACTGCATGAGATCTCAAAAGGCGAGATAAGTTTCTGGACTGCAGTGTTTGCAGGCCCTGGTAGAGTGAGTTGGATCAGAAAGAAATCTACCTCTCTTCGCTTCTCGTTTTTCCACTCTTTTTGTAAGAAAATATCAAGACATTTTTTATTGAGACCCTTTTAATGTCCTTTTTGCTGATGCCTTAGTCCTGAGTGAGGCTCAGCCAGCTGAGTTAGATACACAGTGCACACCTGAGGGAGGAGAGAAGAAAGAGCGAGCTCTTGATTCCAGAGACTGGACAGAAGAGTGTCCTGTGTGGAGTACTTCCATCTTTGATATCCTAACAGTAAATTACTCACTACTTTGCTGGAGAATATGTGACTAGACTGGGAAACATTTTCTCTATTGACCATTTTTATAAATGTGAGGATAAGTTTATGCGTTTCTTTTTGCTAAAGCCAAATGGTATTGGCTACATGTCTTCCTTCTACTTGGGCAGTTTTGTCAAAGGTGGCATTGTTTGTAGGATTCAGCATTTGAAGAGGATTTTTTTTTTTAATCCAGTCTGATCTCAAAAGCTAGTATGTCGTGGTGTAGCCAGCTGACATCCACTCTGAGGACTCGGGCATCTACCTGGTTGGTCGATGTCCTTACCCATATGGTTTTGGCTAATTCATAATTCTCATTCTTAAACTAAACTTCTCTCCGTCTCCACCAAAAGTTTGACTAAACAATAAGGCATTTATACTCTAGCTTTTTTAAAAACGTTCTGTTAATTTAAATTATCATATTTCATTTGAAATCTCGTTTGTGATAAGGTTCTGACATCTGTGGGAGATTTGGTTTGGTTTACCAAAAGGAAATTTTGTAGTATTGAAAATGATGTATACCTTATAAATATATCTATAAATATTAGATGCATGTGTCAGTGAATGAACACAGAATGCTAAAAATGAACAGTGTTTGAAGTAATTCCTCTAATTGCAAGAATGATGTATCAGAAGGGGTTTTGACGTATTTATTCTTACAGGTATTTAAAAGAACCCCTCCTGGTGTTCGGAAAATAGTAATTGCTACCAACATTGCAGAGACTAGGTAAAAATTGTTTTAAATATCAGCTACTAATGATTACATTAATTTTGAGCTCTATAAGTTATTAATATACGTTAATCTTTTTTCTCTACAAGATACTTTGTAATTTCTTAAAAATAAAGCTATTTTAATTTAGTTATGGTGATCAGCATAGGTTTGGTTTTTTTCTTTCACTATACTAATGTTTTAGCCCTCTTCAGAGGGGCTAAAAAAAGCCTTTTAAGTGCTTTTTCTCCAAAGCTTTCCTAAAGAAGCATGGGAGCTGAGGTCAATTTTGTTCTTTTTGCCTTTTTTCTGGTTGGGAATAGAATTGTTTGGTAATTTGATAATTAGTTATATACAGCCTTTAAAATTTATTGTATTTTCTCAGGGGTACTAATATACAGTCACTGAGACAGATTGTTCTGTGGAAGCTTATATTAAAGGGTGGCACTGGGGGGTCCACAGAGCTAGGTACAAAAGCTATCAGGCAAGCTATGAAGTTTGGCTGTGGGAAAATAAGAATTCAGCACGTGATCTGCCAAATTGGCACTGTGCTGCCACCTCGGGTGCTGGATCCCTGTAATATTGGTGAATGTGGGAAGAGTGGTGAATATCCTGAACTGCTAAAATCAATGTGATCCAATAAAAAATGCTCTAAAATCCCTGTATGTGCTTTTAATATTTCATATATCTATTTTCCGAACAGCATTACCATAGATGATGTAGTTTTTGTGATAGATGGAGGAAAAATAAAGGAGACACACTTCGACACACAGAACAACATCAGCACGATGTCTGCTGAGTGGGTTAGTAAGGCCAATGCCAAACAGCGGAGAGGTCGGGCTGGGAGGTAAGCTGGACCTTTGTCTGAAGCCTTCAGAACGCAACAAAACTTTATGTAGCAGAATGTGTCGCTGGCATTTAAAAATATTTTTTAGTAGAATTACTGTTCATATTTTTTAAAACTTAGTGCAACACATTAAAAGTTGTTTTAATCATAGTTTCTTTGACAAGTATCTGCCAAGTTTTCTATTTTATGATTTTTCTACCTTCTAATTCCTCAGTCTGGTTAATTAAAATTAATATTCTTTATTCTTAATAGTTATATTACTTATAATTTTGTTTTCCATTCTTATTTTAAAAGCATGTATTACTAATAATGATAACTGCTGATACTATTTGAGTGTCAGGTCATCTCTTAAGCACTTGATCTACATTGACTTGCTTAATCCTCACCACAGTGTGATGAGGTGTACATTATTCTCTCCATTTTAAGGGTCAAGGAATTAAGGTTCACATAAATTAAGTAATCTGTGCAAAGTCACACAGCTCAGTGAGCAGCAGAGCCAGGATTTGAATCCAGGTAGCCTGGGCTCATTGTACGTTACAGCTGTACTGGTTTTTCACTAGTAGTTACCAACAAAAACTCCAGGAAAGTACCTGTTTCCCATTTATGTGGTGGTAGCATAAATTAAAATATCTCTGTCTTAATGGTAGGAAAAGTGATTTGCCTTTAACACAAATAATTGCACCTACTGTTCATTTTCATGCACACTTCACAGTATTTTTACACCCTTACTTACATGAGTGCTAGAATCATGTCTAGAGTTGTGGAAGAGAGGGGTTGTTTTTGCCTTTAACAGGTAGAACAAAAAGATTCCTGTTAATCTTCAGATATTGGCTTAAGTAAAGAGAGGAGAGTTGAAAGAAAACTTGACAGACCATTTTATCAGCCCTTTGTTTTAGGTTTGTTCTGTATCTGTAAAGCTCTGGCTCACTTGCTGTAATCTTTGCAGATTATCCCAGTATAATTTAACTTCCAGGTAGTTTAGTAAATTATGTGGTTGGTACTGTTGAGCCACAGTCATGGCTTAGTCCAAGAAGTGTCCTCTTCTCATAGTTTAGCAGGGGGAACTTGCAGGGGCCCCTGGACTGGAGTTTGCCCATGCAGACCTGTCACCACTGGATACCAATTCAGAAAGTGTTTACCATAGTGAACGGGTTTGGGCACACTGTTATATGTGAATAGTAAACATAGGAGGCCTTACGTTTAATCCATGCAACAATTATGGAAATAAAGTAAGTGAAGTATTACATTTTATCTACTGCTTCATCCTCACTATCCTGGTGGAGGTTAACTGTAGAATTAACAGTGTTTTAATTCAGGTGGAAAATAGTCCCTCATAGGTTCCATGGATGTAAATTCCTTTAGCAAAGCCTAATTAGATTGATAATTATTTTGAGGGCTACAGCAAACTATATCATGTGGTCCTCAGTGGAGGCACTCTTACTTTTAGTTTCTATAAGCATGTTATATAATAGATGATGGGTCTTTGTACACTCATGACAGAAATAGCTAAGATTTTTAGAATTTATTTTTATTCCTATGGGAAAAAGGCCCCACCCCCAACCCCCACCGTAGCAGCAAGAGCTCATAGAAATATTTATCCTGTTTGAAAATACATGGATGCCCTCACCTCTTCACATCTGTCCTTAACATTGTCCAAAGAATAGTATCTTTCATGTCACTAGATACAAACAATAGGAAAAAATTTTCCAACATCCCTTTAAGAGCTCACTAAATAGTGCAGACTTAAAAGCTTTTTAAGTTAATATAATGCCATGTTAACAAAATGCCAGGATTTATTACATAAAATGCTCACAAGGCATATAGAGATTAACCTAAGTAGACTGCTGTTACTGAGCACAGTGATGTGGAATCTGTAAGATAGAAATAGGGAACCACATTATTGGTGGGGGGAAGGAATCTTGTATTTCTTAAAACTAGGGCGTAGGGATAGTGGATTTAAGGTTATTCAAAACAGATGAGGAGAAGGAAGACATGATTAATGAAAATGAAATAAGTAAATGTCACTGACAGTGCCTTCCCTACCCTTCTTTTAAGAGTTCAGCCTGGTCACTGCTATCATCTGTACAACGGTCTTAGAGCAACCCTCCTGGATGACTATCAGCTGCCAGAAATTTTGAGAACTCCTTTGGAAGAACTTTGTTTACAAATAAAGGTAAATTAAGTGGGACAGTTAAGAAACAAGGGAGTGGGGTTCTAATTCTCAACGTCTTTTATGGGAAAAAGTATTAATCGGCAAGAAAGAATTTTTACCATGCATTTGTTTTTTGCATGTGTTAGTAAACTATGTTTTTAAACTTCCTTCAGATGTTGATTAGTTTTTAATCATGTATTGCTGTGGAGTCACACTGCCCGTGTTTGAATCCCAGCTCCTCCCCTGACAAGCTAGTTCTTTTCTATTGGGCAAGTTGCTTAAATTAACCTCATAAAATTCTCACAACAGAGCCTGGCACATGCTAAGTGTTCACTGAATGGTAGCTACTGTTACCACATCTTACGATGTTACCCCTCATTATAAGCTACATACCATTTTTTCAGCATCTTATATATTTTGATATGTTTAGCCTTCTTATTTTTAAGGTGATTGGTAATCAACTTGTTTGTTGAGATTTTAATGACTACTTTTCTCATTAATAGAGTTGGTGGGTGGTAGAAAGTAGTATATCTGCCTTTAAACATGTTTTTAGAGAATCACAAATATAATTTTAACTTGTTCTGGTAAAATAACTAACTTAAAAATCATGCATAGATTTAATGCTTTGAGTGAATGAGTGACAGAGGCAGGACTGTGTCAATGTATGGTGTGTGTTTAATTATGTTTGTCTCCCCCCAGATCTTAAGGCTAGGTGGAATTGCTTGTTTTCTGAGTAGGTTAATGGATCCACCATCAGATGAAGCAGTGTCACTCTCCATAAAACACCTGATAGAACTGGTAAATTTGACTTTTTTTTTAATTCTACCTTAGGTTTAGACTGTTAGAGCATGTAAGCCAGCTAATTATAAAATTTACTCTCATTACTGCAAGGTAGACCAATGAATGTGCAGTGCCAAATTTGATTGTTCAGCTGTTCAGATTAATGTATGAAATATGAATTAGAAAGTTATAAAAGGATACCTTTGTGATGTTCTTTTCATACTGAGCCCTTTCCACACAATTTTTTTCATCATAGGCCTGATTTAAAATTACGTTTTGAAATCTTTTAGTTACTGGTCTTCATCTTCCTTTGTATTTTTGAAATGAATTTGATTGGTTTATTCTACTCTTTCTGATTACTGTAATGTTTTTACAGCTTTCATCGAATCCAAGTAAGTTAATGACAGTATGGACATCTTATAAAGGCAACTCTTGTATTTTTGAAGGAATACTAACAGGTGGCTTTTCTCGAAAATATCATATCCCCACCTGTCGTTTTGTTCTTATAGCTTTTTTTCTTAATTCTTTTTATGAAGTCAGTGTTCTGAGAAACTAGTTTCAATATCTTAGCCAAGTGACCACCTAGTTGGTAGCCATCCCTCCACAAGACCACGTTGAGAATGGGCACAGGAGTGGCTGTGCGTTAGAGCCTAGAGTGGAGAGAAAAGTTAGAGCTGTGCTGTCCAGTATAGTAGCCACTATCACATGCGACTATTTAAATTTTAATTTTTAATTAAATTACAAATTTAATATCTCATTCACGCTTGCACATTTCAAATGCTCAGTAGGCACATGTGGCTAGTGGCTGCCATATTGGACAGCACAGAAATAAAACATTTCTGTCTGTGCTGCAAGTTCTGTTGATTGATGCTGGGTTAGAGGGTGTGGAAGGTGTATTTTACATATTTCAGTTTTATTTGAGCCATCCATGCAGATAATTTTGAGATTTTGGCCCATGTCAGAGCATTGCAGTAGTTCTCAATGTGAGTAGTAAGTTGTTGAAATGAACAGCGTTGTAAATAGCCTAACTATCTTCGTTGGAATCTGCGTTGGATTTAATGAGGTTGCTGGTGTTTCAGGGAGTGGTGCAGTTCTACTACTGACCTCCTCCCTGCCCCAGGCTTCTCTCTCCTAGCATGTAGCTGTGGAGAGCTGCGTGGTGATCACAGAATCCGCTTAGTATCTGTGATCGAGGTGGGCGACCAGAGGACAGCTGGACTCTGCAGCCCCCATGGGATGACTTCTCTCCCACCCGAACTCAAGAGCCAGTCTTCACTTAGCGTGTAGGCAGCAAAATCGTGAAAGGCCAGCAAATCCCTGCCAACAGAAGGGTCTGAAGCCCATGTGTTTAAAAACATTTTTATTGTGAAATGCAGCGTGCCCATCCAGGGTAAATGAGCAAAACAAAGACGTCCAGCTTAATGATTTATCACAAGTATGTAATCATTACTCATGTCAAGAAGTAAGAACACTCCCAGTATCCTAAAAGCCCACCTCCTACCCTCTCCCAATCCCTCCACTGTCCCTCAGTTCCAAAGATAACCTCCATCATGAGTGTAATGTCATCTCTTGCTTGTTTTTCATGGTGGTCTTACCATACAAGTGTACATCTCTATAAAGAGCTCAGTTTAGTTTGGCCTATTTTGTGAACTTGATGTGAACTCACATAGGAAGGAGGGGTTGGAGATGAAAAGGGGTCTGGATTCTTTCACTTTACATTGGGAGATTCATCAGCATTATTTCTTTTAGTTATAGTTCATTCATTTTCATTTCTTTACCATATTTTATTATATGACTACTGAAAGACATTTTGGTTATTTTCAATTTGAGGCTATTACATATAATGCTGATAGGAATATTCGTCACTATTTAGTGTTTCTTGATGCAAATGTTTTAAGTATTTCTTTATCAGTCTTTTTCTTTATTGTTACTGGTTTTTGTCCTTTAGTAAGTCTTTATCTACCCTGGAGTCATGAAGATATATTGTGTTAACTTTATTGTTTTGTCTTTCACACTTAGATATATAATCCATCTGCATTTGATTTGTGTGTGTGTGTATGGTGAGATAGGAGTCATCAAAGTTTTTATATATGTAGATCAGTTGAGCGAACACTGTAGAAAAATCTGTTCTTTTCTCTTTGTTTTGCAGCCTGTGTCATAAATCAGGTGTCTCTGCATTTGTGTGCCTGTTCATAGGCTCTTTTTTTACTGTATTGGTCTGTATTTCTTTCCTGAGCTGGTGCCACACTGCCTTAATTACAATATTGAGTCTTACCAAACAAGAACATGATCTGTCCTATTGATTTAGGTATTTAATCTCTCTCACTGTTTCAGTGCTTTCTGTATAGGGGTTTTATACAACTTTTTAAAAGATTTATTTCTTGGTTAGTGATAGTTTTGGATTCTATTCTAACTTTTAAATTTTTCATTTTCTTGTGAGTCTGATATAGAGAAAGGAAATTGGTTTTGAATATTGACCTTGTGTTCATCAATGCTGTGAAACCCACTTATTCTAATAACTATATGTAGATTTTTTTCTGCACACACAGACACATCTATAAATAATCACAATTTTAATCATTTCTTTCCAATCATCTAGGACCCCTAGTACAATGTTGAGCAGTATGGTATGCATTCTTGTGTTCTTATTCTCAAAGGAAAAGCTGTCAACAATTCATTAAGCATGTTTGTTCAAGATTTTTTATAGAAACTATCAAATTAAGGGAGTTTCTGTTTTTAGTTTACTAAGAGGTTTTTATCATGCATGGATAATTGATTTTATCAGACTCCTTTTCTGCCTCTAATGAGATTATATGATTATATGATTTTTCTTGTTTAATTTAATGTATTGAATTACATTGATTTTTCAGATGTTTCATTCCTGAAACACACCTAACTTGCTGGGATTTGCTTTGCCATTATTTGGTTTTGGGTTTCTCGTGTAGGATTATTCACTGGTTTTCCTTTCTCCTCATGTCCCTGTTAGTTAGGTACCAAGATCATACTAGCTCAGAAAACAAGTCGGGAGTATTAGATATTTTTTCTTGTTCTGTCTTCTGAGTAGTTTTTTGTAAGATCTAGGTTATTTCCTCCATAAGTATTTAGTAGAAGTCTTGGTCTGATGAGATCCAGAGATGATGTTTTTTATTACTTTTTTTGTTCAAATCTTCTTGTGTGCCTAGTTATCTTAATTGTGTACTGGACATTGTATTTACAAAGTTCTTTGTAGATACAAATTTGAAGCTTGGGATGATGATAATTTCCTCCAGAGAGGATTTATGTTGCTTCTGCCAGGAAAAGAAGCCCCAACGTTGGGCTCACCTCCTTGGACTTCCATCCCTCCCTAAATCCTAGACTTGTAATTCTTTTGTCACTCCTCCGTGTCTTCAAGCAGCTTTTTCAGCTGTGCTCACTGGGAAGATTGGACCAGATTACCTAGGGAATCAGAGCAGAAGTCACCCCCGTTTTGAGTGGTTCTAGATACGCCTTTTGGTTGCGTGCCTCCTAAACTGCTAGAATTGAGGGGTTATGCATTGTATATTCCAAATAGATAATAGTGTCTTTTTTGTTTTGTTTTTCCCGCAGCTCTTGTTCTTTACGGGGTGATTTCTTTTTTCATTTGATTCAAGGTTTGCTAATGTGTTATTTCTCTCATTTTTCTCCTAACATTTACAGTAAAGCCACTTTGTGGATTAGTTTTGTGTTTGTTTAAATAAGTTTCCAATCTTTGCTGACCTTAAAACTTATGTTTTGATGAAGAAAACTAAAGCTGAGCAATGTTAGGGCGTTTGGGCTTAAGAGAGTTAGGAGTGGCCTATAATTTTTTTTTTTTTAAAGCAAACTAAAATAGCTTTGAATGTGATGCTTTATACTGATTTATGTGTAAAACCTTATTTTACAGAACGCTTTGGATAAACAAGAAGAATTGACGCCTCTTGGAGTCCACTTAGCACGATTACCAGTTGAGCCACACATTGGAAAAATGATTCTTTTTGGAGCTCTGTTCTGTTGCTTAGACCCAGTACTCACCATTGCTGCTAGTCTCAGCTTCAAAGATCCCTTCGTCATTCCATTGGTGAGAAAGATACGGACAAAAGGCCAGGTGTTTTTAGAGACACAGAGTAGTTGTTTGCTTAGATACCTTTTCCATTGGCTTTTTATCAGAATGCTATTCTCTATTATGTACAATCAGAGCAATTTAAGCTGCCTTCATCTGCTTGTTTGGTTTTTAAGGGAAAAGAAAAGATTGCAGATGCAAGAAGAAAAGAATTGGCAAAAGATACTAAAAGTGACCACTTGACTGTCGTGAATGCATTTGAGGTAAAAAAATAACTTGTTCTGGATAGTGACAGTTTATTCAAGTGAAAAGCTGACCATAGAATAGAAACATATGTAACTTTTTAAAATCTGCATTAGGTATCAGGAGTAAATTACTAAGTGAGAATGTTTAAAATTAGGTGAACATTTGAAAAAAAAATTGTACATCCTTTCTCAATTTTGTAATTGCTCATTACATTTACCTATTACATTTACCCTTTTAGAAAAGAAGTCTGTATGTATGTTTTGATAACAGCAGAACAAGTGAACAATTTATTTTAAAATTTTATTTGATATTATTGATTATATTTTTGTCTTATTGACATTCATGACAGAAAGTTTCCTTCTGTTCATTAATAAACTGTCCCTGTATGCAGATTTAACATTTGGATAGAATATCATAATCATGTACATTATTCAGAATAAAGAGACATTTTCTGCTCCCAAAGCCAGGCTTATCCAAGGATAAACATTTATCACCAATTTTTGCAAAATTTATATGTAATTTGGTTTATAGAGACAGCATTTTTTGCTGTAGTTCTAGACTCAGATTTGTACTACATATTATGAGAAAATTCACGCATTTTTTTCCTTGGAGCTCATTCTTTTTCCGCACCTCCCCTTCTTCTCTAGCTGAAAAAAAAAAACAACTATGAGGTTGAAAATATGTAATAGCATTGCAGTTTGTTCCACAGAGTACTCTTTTTGATTAATATATATAGGATGATGCCATTTTATGTAAAATACACAAGATATTACTATAGAACTTGTACTTATTTGTATAAAGAAAGGTCTGGTAATTCAGTGCTGGTTATCTCTAAGGGCTAGGTTCATGGGGAGTTTATGTGTGTTTAGTTTGTAAATTTCAAAATTCTTTGAATTTTTTACAAAGAAAATGAAATATTAGAAGATTAAATTGTTACCAAAATAAAGATAAAGTAGCAAACCATCTTTGCTTCGGGGAACAATATAGATAGTTTTTCTTCATTTCTTTGTCCATAGGGCTGGGAGGAAGCTAGACGGCGTGGGTTCAGATATGAAAAAGACTATTGCTGGGAGTATTTTCTGTCTTCAAACACTCTGCAGGTAAGGTGAATGTTTTGAAGTGATTCTCATTTGTGTTGGATTAGAGAATATAGGTATCCTTTCTGTACAGTTAGATTTGTAGCAAAAAGTTGTGTGGGTTTGTCTTATGAAGTTGAATCATACAAAATAATAGAAGGAGTCTTTATTAAATCCACTGGAACAAAACAAGAAAAGATGTATAATACAATAAACAAAAACTAATGGCTAAGAAAAGAAGCGAGAGTCCAGAGTCCCCAGGAAAACTCATTGAGGCTCAGGTACCATTCCTGTGCCCACCCTCTAGTTGCCATTTTGGTGATTCAACCTGAAAATATTCCCTAACACTCCTAAAATCTATTTTAAAATATCAAATAGGGTGAGTATCTTTAATTTTCTGGTAGGTATCTTTATCTTTAACTGATTCAGTGTAGTGAGAAAACACTGGCCTATAGGCATTTGTGAAATGGAAGGAAGTAAACAATAAATAGGGCAGATGCGCATCAGACTCGAGACCCAACACTGGTTTGGAGAAGCGATCTCAAGCCACTGGGAGTAGTCATAACCTCACTTTCTCCATTACCTTTACACTCCAGCTGTGTGGCACGAACCCTGGTACTAGACATTTAACAAATCTACAGGCAGTAAAAGAATCAAGAATCTAGCATATTTCTTCAAAAGTGCCCAAACATTAACAAAAAGAAGAGTCACGACAATTCTTAAAGATACCACAGCCAAAGGAAAAAAAACAATGGAACATAGCATATCTCAACAGAAAATACCTTAAAGCTCTTCATATCATGGAACAGTTTAAGAATATGAGTTCAGTAAGACAGAGATAAGGAAGTACAGTCATGCATTGCTCAACATTGGGGATACGCTCTGAGAAATGCGTTGTTGTGTGAACATCATAGAGTGCTTACACAAACCCAGGTGGTGTAGCCTACTGCACGCTTAGGCTGTAAGTACTCATATTATGGGACCACCATCATATATGCAGTCCGTCATTGACTGAATGTCGTTATGCCGCGCATGACTATAAACCAGTAGAATGAATGAAGAGAATGCTGAGTTAGGAAGACAGTTGGAAGACCAAAAAAATCACAAGGAACTAAATGGACAACCCTTAAAGCAAATTCCTGCTCTAGAAGAAAGGCTTGAGATAATCACAGTTTATAATGCAGCCACAAAAGAAAAAAAGTAAAACAGTAAGGAAAAGCTTATAGACAGGAAGAGAGGACTGATCTGTCCTGAAGATAATCAGCGTCTGTAATGTGGATAATGAAAGTGCAATTGAGTATGTATTCAGAGAGATGTGTAAGAACATTTTCCTGAAACAGAAAAAAATGAAATGAACCACAAGTATGAAAGGATGGCTGAATCTAAGTGTTATTTGAGGATATTATATCCAGTCAAGATATTAATTCAAGTGTAAAGACAGAGGACAGGTGTTCAAGAAAGCAGTCAAAGTACTGCACCTGTGAGCTGTTCTTGACGAGCTCACTGACAGTGAAATGCTGCCCATTAAGAGATGAATCAGAATTCAGGAATGGAGAGTGCATACTAAATGGCGTATGTTGAAATTGTCTAAATATATGATGAATACAGAACAGTGTTGGGAATTACGGATACAGAATAGAACGTAAAGGTTATTATCCTGAACAGTGTATAATAATGGTAATAAAACCAGGAGGTGGCCTAGTGAGTCAGTTAAGAGAAATTAGGTGGGGAAGCTACAGTGACACAGCTCATAGAAGGATATGCACTTCAATAAAGCTGACTGTATGTTCCATCATCTCTTCTTTTAAGCTCACAAGGATCCTTTATTAAATATCTCTTGTGATTATGAAAATGTAAGATTCATCTAGTTCAGTTTCATTTCTCTTTAACTTCTTTAAATTGAACTAAACTTAATTATAATACTTTTATAAAAACAGCTTCTATACTGTTATCCCATTTTTAGGATAGGATTTCTGTCTAGTTCACTCTTCTGTCAGTATATATGCAATGATATTTCTGACAGTATTGAGTTTAGGGAATTTTCTTCATTTGTACTTTTCTATGTTACTTGAATGCTTTATAGTGAGCTGCATCGTTTTTACCCAAATAGTAATTTTTCTTAAAAACAAAACAAAAAATAGGCCCAAAGCTTTTGTGCCAGTTAACAGTGGTTAATTCTGAGTAGTAGAAATATAGATGTTGGTCATTTTCTTCATGCTTTTCTGTATTTTTTTCAAAATATGGGGTGGAGAGCAATTTTGAAAATTATATTAGAGAGTCTTTTGCAAAATGGAGAAATCCCTAAACATCAGTGTTATTCCCCACAATAGGCAAACCTTTTCTGTCAAAGATCAGATAGTAAATTTAGGCTTACAGGCCATATAGTCTCTGTTGCAGCACTCACCTCTGCCGTGAGAGTGCAGAAGCAACTGTAGATAATATGTAGATGAATGGCTGGCCACATTCAAATCAAACTTTATTGATAAAAACAGGTTTTTATAAATTTTACAGTTAACCAGTCCCTGCACTAAAACATCACATTTTTGCAAAAGTGTTTTGTTTAGCAGGGGAAGCTTATAGCTACATTCATTTATGTGTACATGCCTTATAACCCTGTAAATCTGTGTGAAAGGTGTTCTAGTTCTGTTTGTTACCACTGCCCCCAGATGCTGCATGACATGAAAGGGCAGTTTGCTGAGCATCTTCTCGGAGCTGGATTTGTAAGCAGTAGAAATCCTAGAGACCCAAAATCTAATACAAATTCAGGTAACGCAGAAAATACAGTGAATAACTTGTTGCTGTTGTCTACTGTTATCAGTAGTTTACTTTTTTTCTCTACCTTCCCATCCCTAACAGATAATGAGAAGATAATTAAGGCTGTCATCTGTGCTGGTTTATATCCCAAAGTTGCTAAACTCCGACTGAATTTGGGTAAAAAAAGAAAAATGTAAGCATTGAAGATTTTTATGAATTATTTGTAATTCTCTCCTTAAACTTTTGAAATCCTCTAATTCAGCAGGGCTTATATTGTACATTTGTTCTTATTCATATTTGAGCCGTATTCTCTTATTCTTTACTTTTTGGTCATTTAAGAGAAGGCAGACTGTTTAACATAGGCACCTCTTCCCTCACAGCCCATCCCTGGAGTCCACTCTCCCATCACCCATTATTCACAAAGAATGTTAGTGAAATAGAATACCAGTGTAAACATGAGAAAAGTAAGCCAGCTATTAAAAACCAGTGCCTGAATGGACATGGCTTAGAGTAGATTTTGTTTCAGGACTTTTTTCCCTCTATTCTTATAAAACAGATAATTTTGTAATTTAGCTCTTTGAATAAAAATTGTGGTGATTTCACTGTTGTGAGAAATAAAGTATAACTTTTAAATATATGTACAGATTGAGTCAGCCTCAGTAGTAACTGGAGACAACAGCGAGGCATGTTTTGCCTAGTAAATGAGCTCATTCTAGTGAGGAAAAAGAAACTGAAAGTCACAAATGGCTGGTGGTATGTGAATGGGTGCCAGCCTTTTGGCAGGCACTCTAGATTAGAATTAAGTATCAGCAGTCATTAAAATAGTGACTCGTCTAGTGCATTCATGAGTGAATATTTTAATTTGAGGACTATGTCCTAAGGAAGTAATTCCAAATGTTTTTTAAAAGTTGTATTGTAAACAACATAGAAGTCTAGTAGCAATGGGGAAATTATGGTTTCATAATACCCTATTATATGGCATTTCTGGTAGGTGGACATATAAAACTGTGTAGTAACATAAAATATTTGAACTGGTATTAAATGAAAAAGTTGGATACTCTATGACTATAAACATGAAAAAATATAGACCTCAAAGATAGTCTGCAGTACAGACAGTGTTCTAGAGTGGTGGTTCTCAGCTGGGGTGATTTTGACACTGTCCAGGACATTAGTGGTTGTTATAACCTGGGGGATACTACCAGGATTTAGTAGATGGAGGCCAAGGATGCTTTTACACACCTGCCCCGCACAGGACAGCCCCCACAACAAAGACTTCAACGTGTCAAAAATGCTGAGGTCGAGAAACCCTATTCTCAGCTATAAGATAATGGGTAACATGAATGTTAATCAAGGTGGCTGGATTATCCACATTTTAAGTGATGCAAGTACTTTTTTGACATCAGTACTTTGTCCAGTTCTTCATCTCTCTCCGTAACTTAGCAGGTAGCTTAACAGAGAGATACAAACATTTGAAATACAAACATTTTGTGTATCCCTCTGCCATCCTGGGAAGGCTTTATGAAAAAGATGTACTTCTCTTTGGATTGGTGCTTTGTTTTGGTGTAGACCAGAGGAGAGCATACTGGCCAAATATCGGCATACTGGCCAAAAGCTTGTTTGTGTCAATTTTTATTGGAACACAGCCAGGCCTGTTTGTGTACATGTTGTCTGTGCGTGCTTTCTTGCCACGCCAGCAGAGCGGAGTAGTTGTGACAGAGATGGTTGGGCCCACAAAGCCTAAGCTGGTTTCTCTCTGGTCCTGTGCAGAGAAAACGTTTGCCAGCACCTGCTGCACTAGTGACGTAGGGTTGCAGGATGGCCTTGGTAAAGTTGACTGTGTGGTGCAGAAAAGTAATTTCTGATTTTATTCTGAATAATGACTCATGACTGTGATTCATGATTTTGGTGGAAATATTAGGAATTTCTAGAACCACAAGAAAGATGCTCTTAAAAACAAATAGGAAGGATTAATGGATTATCAGCTTTTATGCTGTTGTCTAATACAGGTAATTACCACTGACATTGAATAATATTAATTAAAGCTTCCTACAGATCGAGGTAAAATTTTTACGACTATCAAAGAAAAAACCTTAGGAACGAAGAGGCTGAACTAGAGCTGTGTCAAAGTACATTTATTCCAAGTGTTCCTGTTTTGAAATTGGGGGATTTGAGTGAACACGAACTATTGGAAAGATATTTTAGAATAGGTTTTTAAAAATCACTTGTAGCTAAAATCACTTCTAAACAAAATTCCTAATTTTTTATTTTATATTTGTCTGGGTGCATAACCTGTGAAATTTTTTAATTGATCATTTCAAAAAATTATTCTGTAAATTGAGGGCTATTTGTCAGTATCATGATTGATAGTAAAATATATAGACTTCTCCTGGTCTGAATCACTTAGAATTATTTCAGATATTTCTTTCTTTCTTTGTCGTTTAGTGGTATAGTATATATTTACATAATTAAGGAATATTCTGTCACTTATCTAATATGTTAAATAATTATACCTGCAAGAAGAGAATTTGTTGTACGATTTATAGAGTATTTGTATTTAGCTGATATTTTTCCATGTTTTATTAAAATAAGAATTCTGCTCTTTCTTCAAATATAAATTTGTAAATTTATATTGCAAAAATAAATTGAACTCATCTGTGGAGTTTTTTTTATACATTCTGGAATTGGTTTAGAATCTCCCAGAATTTTTTTAACAAACTACATTTTAACTTTTTTAAAGGGTGAAAGTTTACACAAAAACAGATGGACTAGTTGCTCTTCATCCTAAATCTGTTAATGTGGAGCAAACTGAGTTTCACTACAACTGGCTTATCTACCACCTGAAGATGCGGACAAGTAGTGTAAGTGAATATTGAAAACCATTGTGGATCTGAGTGTTAGTCTGGTTGTAGTTTTATTATTGTACGCTTTTCATAATTATAAGTAAAATTTGTTCTCTTTAAAAAAATTTTTTTTCTGACGTGAGTTACAACTTCTTTAAGCAAATAACCTATACTTTTAATGTGCAGTTCTGTTGCGATGGATTGTTGAATTTAATTAATTGGGACAGTTATTTGATTTGCATAATTTTCTTTTAGAGCCTGCTTTCAAGAAATTATTGACATTTTGGAGTATACAGGAGTTTATACAAAGAATTTTGTTGGCATGTCAAGTATTGGTGTATATATATATAGATAAAAATAATTTTAGCTACATTAGTGTTCTGGTTTTGTCAGTCAGAAAATATTTTGTTCAAAGAATAGTGCTATTGTTTGAATTGAAACAAAAATATAAAACTCCTATGTTCTCTGAGTTAATGAAGAATGGCTCATTGTAAATGGTATTTCTTCATAATTAGTCTGTAATTACATGAACTGGATAATACCTATTTTAGAAGGAAAGCACTAATTGATATTGGTGATGTTATTGAATTAATGTGACAGTAATCCTTTCAGACTCCTGAATGTATTAATTTGCTTTAATTCTCATTGTATAGATCTACTTGTATGACTGCACAGAAGTTTCGCCGTACTGTCTCTTGTTCTTTGGAGGTGATATTTCCATCCAGAAGGATAAGGATCAGGAAACCATTGCTGTAGATGAATGGATTGTCTTTCAGTCTCCAGCCAGAATTGCCTATCTTGTTAAGGTGACTAATTTACATGATTGTCTTTGAGTCTACGTATAAGTTAGTATGTGGTCTTGTGGTTTTGTTTCAAATGTTATATATGTTATGTTAAATATTTCTTGCTCTATTTCGACAGAGCAAATAGTGTTGAGAAATAGATTCATAGTTTTTCTGATTTGTTTTTTGAGATAGTTACAGACCAACCCTGCTAAATGGCTCAGTGTGTTGGAAGTTTGAATTTTTTAACTTTATTATACTTAGTTGGCTACTTATAACCATACTTTAGTGAGTTGCTCATTAAATATTTCAATCTTCTGCATAATAGCTTATGAAATTCCTTGTACCGGCTAAAGTCACTTGTGTTTGTTACATTGTTGGATAGTACGTCTGTCTTTGTTGACCAAATGTAATATTTCCAACCTTAGGAGTTAAGAAAGGAACTGGATATCCTTCTGCAGGAGAAGATTGAAAGTCCCCGTCCCGTGGACTGGAAGGACACTACATCCAGAGACTGTGCGGTGCTCTCAGCTATCATCGACTTGATCAAAACACAGGAGAAGGCAATTCCCAGGAACTTGCCGCCACGGTTCCAGGATGGATACTATAGCTGACAGTTTTTCTGTGGTGGTCTGAAAAACCAGTTTGACAGCTATTTTCCATCACAGTTTAATTTTTGGCTAGATGCCAAACACTGGGACATGAATAATTTTCATGTGTAAAGTAGAAACCTTCAGCAGGTAGTGAAGACTTAGTGTGCATGAGTTAACAGTGTTATTTGTAGCTATTATAAATATACCATAAAAAACAATATGTTCTCTGATCATACACTCTGTTGTGAGGGTGTCCGCACTTTGGGACTATTCCTCTTATAAATAGTGTTGTACCACTTATGAAAAATTAATTTTTCTGCCTGTAATGACTGAAACAGTAAAAATAGAATGGTTAGCCAAAAAGCAGTGTCAAGTAAGAATTTCAGCACAGCCACATTTTTTAAATGAAACTACTATCAGAATTAATTTGTTGTAATAAAGTCCGTTGTTTAATAAAATGTACAGTGTGTAAATCTCAGCTAACTTTTTGACTTGGTGTCTACATCTCCACCTATCCCTTGGTTTATTTGATGTTTTTTATCTTTTTAGAATATAGTCATACCCTTTTACCTCACCCTGTGCAGCATAATGTAGCAATTGAGAGCATGGGTCTGGAGCCTGACTACCCAGATTTCAGCTCTGTCACTTACTAGATGTGTTGGGCAAGTTACGTGACTTCTCTCTATTTCTTTGTCCTTATCTGTAAATTATAGGTAACAATTGTGTAGATTAAATGTTAATGTATCTAAGTGCATAGACTAGTGTCTGGCATGTAGAGGGTACTCACTAAATCTTGGTTGTTATTTGTCTCTGAAGTATTTTTAATAACAATCCACTATATTACACTTTTTTCCATGCTCTGAGTGCTGTTTCACCCTCAGCCTGTGGAGGCTCCTGTGACATGCAGTGTATTTTCAGCCCTGTCAGGTTGTGGCGAATCCTGGTTGCTGTCCAACAGCCGTTGGGTCCCTCCCGTCTTGCTTGCCCAGCCTCGTGCCCAGGGATGTTGGACCCTCTTCCCCCAGGGTGGGTCGGACTGTTCTAAGCCAATCGTGTGTGGTCTTATTCCCCTGATGAGTAACTGATGAGGTGTGAGTATGAACGTGTCCTGACTAATGGCAACTGAGAAGAGATCTGCAACGGGGCATCTGAGAGGATTTCCTCAGTCATAGCCTTAGAAGAGGAACGTCTGCTCTCCTTCTCTGGACCTTGTCTTGTCTGAATCCGGCCCACAGAACTGCTGCAGCTGTCTTAGGAGCACAACCTTGGCTCACTGCAAAGGTGGAAATTCCCAGTCCTTGATAAAGCAAGTGAGCTGCTGAATTATCCAGCTCTAGAACTGCCCTACTCGTGGTCTTGTTTTGATGTAATCGACCTTTCATTGTGTTAACCGCTGTTAGTAGGGTCTTGTGTATAACTCGGCAGAAAGCATGTCAACTGAAACACACAGTGTCCATCATCGAGTGTTTGCTGAGGCCTTTCTACTGTATTTTGTGATCTAACAATTTGACCCCCTATGTCTGATAAAAGATGTAAAAGGGGTTAGTACTGGACATACTGCAGAAAGCACATACGAAGAACATCTGCTGCACCCTAAAAACTACAACTTTGTCGTGCCTTCCAATAAATGCGAAGAAACCAAAGGAAAAGCGTGTTGTACGATGACTGGGATTTGCTAATGATGCTGTGAGCATCTGTGGACAGCCTGGTTCAGGTACTGCTCCTCTCCCTGGGAACATAACGTCAGCCTGTCGCTGCCTTCCGGGGTTGGAACATACTGTGTGCCAAAGCCATTCTCTGGGCCAGTCTCCCAAGGCTGATAGTGTCTCCTGCACTCCTTCGTTGAGTCGTGTCACGCTACTGCAGCCTGTGAGTTTTGCCCCTGAACTCAAGGTGACGGTTAGCTCCTACTTGTGTTCTAAGAATGCATATGTTCGTGCTTTTTTTTCTTGCTTTTACCATCCAGTTTAAATTCAGTCACTTGGCCAAAATGGTCCTGGCAGAAAGCATTTAAAAAACCTGTAAAAACAGATTACTAGTTATTTTTTTCCATGTTCACAAACTGATATTTAATCTCCATATAAATGGGGGAAGTATTCCTGAAGAATTGTTGAATAGATGAACTATTCAGAGATTAAAGCAGTTATCACCCCCAATTCATGTCTTCTCTACAGCTGATCAGGATGGAAAGTTTAATCAAAGGTGCTTTTATGTTCTGTTCCTTTTGTTTACAGAAAAGGGTATTACTGAGTGGAAGACGTATTCCAGGTCTGAGAACTATCTGTTACATGGTGGTTTTAAAGAATAAGACATTAAATTAAGAAGAAAAGTCTATTTGCCTCACCATTCTGAGTGATACCAAGGATAACTCTTGAAAAAACAACTCAGAAACAGAAACTTATGGAAAAAACAAAAGATAACTGAATAATCTTTGAAAAGTGTCTTTGGAAAGTGAGTCCATGTAACACCTTCCTAATTTATTAGGTTTGGCAAAAGCTCCAGATACGTTTATACCAATTATTAGAAGTGATTTTCTCTTCTTACTGTGTTTTCAAAGTCAAGTCCACCCTAAAAGTTAGAAACTATAGAAAAGCTTTAGAAGTTTATTCTAGTACCCCTACCCAAAGTCAATGGTGATTTTCCTTCCACTCAGCTCTGAGTTTGTGTATATTTAAAGTAATTGTGATCATGTGGTATTGTCATATATTTATAAATGCTAATTGTTCTTACATGACATCTTTCTTCTGACTTTAAAATAATACATCCTCGTTGTAGAGTATTTGGAAATTCAGCATATAAAAACAAAGCATGTTACCACGGCTATGTTTTGATATATTTTCTTTTTTTTAAGCTTTAAGGTATTATTTTATATATAATAAAATTAGCTGATTTAAGTGTATAATTCTGTGAATTTTGTCAAATGTATGAAGTTGTATAATTGCTACCAACACAATCTTGATAGAGAACATTCCCATTACCTAAAAATTTCCCTCTTATCCTTCGCCCTGCCCCACGTCCCACCCACTGGCAACCACTGATCTGCTTTTGGTCTCTAGTTTTGCCTCTTCCAGAATTCCCAATAAATGGGGTCATCTACAGTCTTTCACGTGCCTTGATGCTTTTTGGACACTACACTGTTGCAGGCATCAGCAGTTAGCCTTGTCCAGTGCTTGTACATTGGATGGTTATCCAGGGCTTGTTCATTCATTCACCAGTCGATGGACCTTTGAGTGAGTCTCAATTTTTTTGCTATTATAAATCTGCTATGAACATGTGTATACAAGTCTGTGTAGATACCTGTTTTCATTTTTATCTTGGGTAAATACCTATGGTTAGGATTGTTGTGTCATATGCTAAGTACGTCTAACTTGGTAGGAAACTGCCAAACTGGTTTCTGCAGTAGGTGCACAATTTTACACGCCCACCAGCAATATGTGATGGTTCCCAGTGTTTCCAGTCCTTAGTATTTTTAGTTATTTGTTGTTTTGTTTAAATTTTAGCCTTTAGTGGCTGTGGAGCCATAGCTCATTGTGGTTGTGTTTCTGTGAAGATTAGTGGTGAGCATACTTCGTGTGCGCCTGTAGTCGTCTCACGTATTGCTGTGTTGATTTTCCACCTCGTGTGTTAAGTGTTGGGGCTTTAGGGACATATCTGACTAGGGAGAGGGAGGATTAGTTTTTATGAATGTCAGAGATGCAGAAAATTACTAAGTTCAGTGACGTTGAAAATGACAAAACGTGCCCTTCATGAGTAGGCTGGTACAGTGTAGAGTTAGCCACTGTGACCTAGTGCCAGAAGGGAACAGCACCACTTTTAGGCGGTTGTGATGTGAAGAGGTTGCACATCCACCACAAGGTAAGGAAGATGGCGTGAGACAGAACATTTCCTGGTGTGGGAGAAGGCACGGGGGCCGAGGGAGACAGCTGATGTGCAGGCACCACGGACGACAACTTTTAAATTCTGGTCGTCTTTCTAGTTCTTAAGTTTGATTCATGTCTTAGTGGTCTAGTATGAATTTTCAAGTAATTTTTTTCAAGAAGACAGTGATATATTTCTGAGTATTGCAGAAATATTATATTACCTTCACACAATGAAGGCAACTTGGTGGGGAATAAAATTCATTTTAGCAAAGCTTCCATTTAACGAAACAGTGATTTCTCTTTTTCTAGTCCTTCCATCTATATGCCTTTTAGGTATTTCAATGCTTAATTTTTTGCCATAGGCTTCCATTCACCCCATTTTATTTTAACAGCTATTTCTCTTGTTTTAAATTATTTAATTGTTGCTGGAAGCCAATTTTTGATTTTAAGGCAAAGATGGTTACATGTTTTTGTGGGATCTGAAATAAGAATTACAAATAGAGGCCAATACACCAGAGATCAAAATATTTTTTAATTTTAATTGGATTTAACAAACTTGGATAAGATACGTTCTATCCTCCTACCTTGACAAATATACATTCATAATGACAATAAAAAATGGCATAAAACCATGTTTTTTTCTTACAACTGAAGGTCACCAAAATGCCAGAGGTGACTTCTAGTTTACCCCAGTATTTTGATTTTTTCCAAGTGTTCTTTCCATATCAGTTGATATAACCACGTGGCTCTTTTCTTCTTCCGCCTGCTAAAATGGTGGATTACACGGATTGGTTTTCAGATCTTGAACCAGTCTCGCATTCCTGGGAGAAAGCCCCCTTGGTTGCAGTGTGTGATTCTTTTTATCTGTTGCTGGATACGATGTTACAAGCGGCTGGATTTAATATTTTGTTTAAGATTTTCCCTCTGTGTTCATGAAGCCTGCCAGTCTCGAGTGTTCTTTGTGTGAGGTCATGCTGACCTCATAAAATGAGCTGGGCCGTGTTGCCTTGCTCTTCTAGTTTCTGGAAGAGATGGTGTAGAATTGGCATTAACTCTCTGAATGTCTGGAAGATTTCTGCAGTGAAAGCCTGTGCACCTGGGTATTTCTTTTTCAGAAGTTTTTAAATTACGAATTCAATTTATTTAGTAGTTACAGGACTATCTAGAGTTTCAGTAGTTTGTGGTTTTCAACAAATTAGCCCATTTTATCCAAATTGATTTAGGTCTGTCGAGTTGTTTGGATCTCCCCTTAGCCTTTTAATGTCTGTGGAACCTGTGACGATAGCCCCTTTCATTCTTGACACCAGTACTCTTGTCTCACCGCCAGTCTTGCTAAAAGGTGTATCAGTCGTGTTCATCTGTTCAAAGAACTAGCCGTTTGTTGTGTTGATGTCCTCTGTATTTTCAGTTTCCTTGATTTCTACACTTGTCCTTGTTTGCTTCCTTCTGCTGCTTTGGGTTTCCTTTGTTCCTCATTTCCAGTGTCTTGAGGTAGCAGCTTCGAGTTCTTGTCTACAGTGAGTGTTGAGTGCGCTGAGCTCCCCGCTGAGCACTGCTGTAGCTGCAGCCTCCATGTTTGGATGCTGTGTGCTCATGCCATTCCCTCAATGCATTTTCACTCCCTTCTTTACCCGTGTGCCTCTTGGAGGCATAGATGGCTGAGGAGTGTGCTGTTTAATTTCCAAGTGTTTGGGGATTTTCCTGTTTTTGTTATTAATTTCTAGTTTGATTCCATTATGCTGGTTGGGAAACAAACTTTGTATGATTTGAGTTCTTTTAAATTTGTCAGTTG